CTTCTGTTGCCACATATCGGACTGTAATGTTAAGAACACTAATACTAAAAATCCCTCCAGCCAAATGGATAAACCCATGATAAAAACGTCTTACTATATGAGGATGGATAAAGTGTCTTACTTTCACAAGAAGCACAGCTGGAAAATAAGTGAATTGCAAAAATATGATTTAATGATACCCTCTTTCACACTTCTGTTCACTCAGATGCCTGGAAAATAAAAGCCCCAAGACCTCCGCTTCACACTCAACTTAATGGTGAGACACTGTGCTGGGTTCAGCTACAGCAGTCATTTTTTCTCCTTCTTAGTAGCTGGTGCAGTGCTGTGTTTTTGACTTTCAGTCTGGGAACAATGCTGATAACACCGATGGTTTTAGTTGTTGCTCAGTAATGTTTACTCTGACCAAGGCCTTTCTCAGTCTCATGCTCTGCCAGGGAGGAGGGGAAGCCAGGAGGAAGCAGAGGCAGGACACCGGACCCAAACTGGCCAAAGGGCTATTCCATACCACAGCACGTCATGCCCAGTAGATAAACTGGGGGGAGTTACCCGGAAGGCCCAGATCGCTGCTCGGGTCGGGCTGGGTATCGGTCGGCGGGTGGTGAGCGGTTGTGTCCTCTGCCTTTGTTATTCCTCTTATCATTATTATTGGTAGCAGTAGTGGTTTGTATTATACCTTAGTTACTGGAGTGCTGTTATCTCAACCTGTGGGAGTTACATTCCTCCAATTCTCCTCCCCATCCTTGCAGGAGCAGGTGAGAGGAAGAAGGGAGGAGGAAGTGAGCGAACGGCTGCGTGGTTCCGAGGTACTGCCTGACCTTAAACCATGACAGTTCTTTGTGGCGCCCAACGTGGGGCACGAAGGGTTGAGATAACGACAGATCTGACCAGAGCGTATCTAATCATATCTGTGATAAACATTCATTGTTTTGGATTGATAGTCACTTAAACCATGTGGGCTTAAACCACAACAGACACATTAGTGCCATTGCTTTTCCCATCAGTGAGGTGGACAGAGAGACACATCTGACATAAGCAAACAGGTGAAGTGACAGGAATAAGAATGCCTATTCCCTATTAACAAAACAATAATTTGAATTCAGAGTAAGGAGCAGCTAAAGAAAAATGCCAACAAATTTTTGTGTGTGTTTGATATGAATTATTCCCTGGATATGAGTTAACAGATTTCAATATAGAATACAATTTTTTTTCCAGAGACATGTTTATCAATCTGTCAATAGTATTTTGCTTAAATGACAAGGAAACACTTGTTAACATCAATTGATTTGATAAGTCTTTAGTCACATCATCAATGACAAGCTTCAAAAAAGGTTGTCAAAGGACCTTTAGGGGGAAAAGAAGAACAAGGACAACAAACAATCTTGGTGTTTAATTACCCATATTCCAGTGATACTTTCTAACAGGAGGCAACTGTTAAGGACTAGAACCAGCCACTGGTAAACCAAAACTGCTTACAGCACAGTTTGCCTTTTTTACTGGGTTTGAACAGCAAGGTTTTGGTAGTGGGGGGCCTATGGGTGAGTCTTCTGTGAGAAGCTGCTAGAAGGTTCCCCCATGTTCAACAGAGCCAATGCCAGCTGGCTACAAGGTGGACCTGCTGCTGGCCAAGGCTTGGCCCATCAGCAGGGTGGTAGCATTTATTTAAGAAGGGGAAAAAGCCTGTACAATGGTAACCTCAGCTAGAGAAAGGAGTAAGGATATGTGAGAGAAACAGCCCTGCAGACTCCAAGGTCAGTGCAGAAGGAGGAAGGAGGTGCTCTAAGTGCTGGAGCAGAGATTCCCCTGCAGCTCACGGTGCAGAGGATGGTCAGAGAGGAGCTTCACTGCCCTGGACAGCAGATTTACTATTATTTCAGCTTTAGCCTTTCCAAAACTTTGTTGAATCCTATGAACAGTCATCATACGGTAAATGTAACAGGCCAGGTCTTCAGCATGAATAAGAATGAGCACCTACTGAGCTTTGTAAGGATGTGAGAGTACTCAAGGATGAGGACTTCAGTAAGGATAGCTGAAACAGCACCTCATTCATCCAGGCATGACTCAGGCCTCTGAAATACCAAAGGAAACAACCTCCTCTACCTGACTGGTGGCATAAGCAGGAGAAATGAAGCTCCTGCAGTGCCTCCCAGCAGCTTCAACACCCAGAACTGAGCCACCTTCCCGTTTCCCGTTACTAACTGAAATGCGGGAAGACAGCTTATTTTCTGCCAGACACACAGCACAGACTCATAGAAACAAGACAGGAAAGAAGGAAGGAAGGAAAGAATAGTCTGGAGTTTAGACAATGGAAAGGAAAGAAAAAAGAGAAGTTCAGAACCACTGCAATGACCTGTCTGACCTAGCAGGTATTGGATATGGCAGGCTGCAAACAAGACCGGCAGAGTATAAGAGAGTCACTGACTCCAGAGACAGCATTTCCACCCGAAGCCAGTGGGTAACCTTTGCAACAAAAATACCCTTTTAAACTTTTTTGTATTTTTTTAAGAATTATAGGCCCTGACAACAGCCAGATTAAACCAGCAGCAAAGCAGCCGAGATCTTCATTCTTCCCAAAAAACAATATCCCCAGCTCCACCAAATCAAATCATGGCATACCTGTATTGTGTTGCTTTAATACAAAACAGACGTTTTAAAGAGCTACTTCAAAGTGCAGTTGAACATTTCCTTCTGGAAGATTTCTTCTCTTGCAGTGTCCTTAACACTGCCAGTGCCACGTTTCAGTGTAACTAGAAGACAGGACTTCTCCATGTTACAGCCCTAAGGCTTGCTTGTTTGTTCAGTCTTTCTCAGCTTAATGTTGTCTGGAGACATTTACAGCAATTAATTGTCCTACAAGTTCCCAAGAGCAAATTTTTATCTTCTCAAACAAGGTGGGAATCAGGTTAAAGGTTACAGGGAAATGACTGAGCAGATACAAACTGTGAATGCTGCATTAGCCACAACAACTCTTGGAGTTAAAAGCCTACTATTAGTTAAGAGAGGATTTGTTCAATTATTTTATTGTGTATTAGTGATCTAATGGACAGGGTGTATTAGAAGAGGAAATAAGAAACAAAATTTACTATCTTTTCTGAACAAAAAGAAATAAAACCTGACATGTTTATTGTTTTAATAGATACTAAAACAAATATTAACTGCAGAGCTGTAAGGAAAACAAGGGCTTTGATGTTAGGCTGATGTAACTGCCAGGGCTGCTACAGTCTCCTGTTATATGTCGGGATACCTGCATATCTTCCCTAGTCCTAATTTTATCTCATGCATATTCTTTATCAGTTACCATTAAGGGAAGTTTTTCACCTGATGTCACATGGATCTGCAACAGTATTGCTGATGGTCACACTGACATAAAATAAAGGTAAGATCAGTCAGATTGAAAAGGCTGACAAGACAGAAAAGACTCACTTTGAGCTTCTCAAGCACCACAGCTGTGGTCATGTGCTGAACTAGGCTCAAAAGAACTAATGTTAATAACATCCTCCCTTTTTTTCCTGGAGTGCAATAACGAGAACCATCAAGAGGGAAATGCAATGGAGCTGTTCTGTGATTCTTCCTGTGAATGAAGGAAGATCAGAATAGACATTCAAAAGGAAGAGAGGATGCAACAAATTAATGAGGAATGAACTGTGCTGCGTTTAGGCTAAAACCTTCTGTATCTTCAGCCAGTCAAAGCCAGGAATGGCACAACTATAGCTCTGCATAAACAAAAGCATAAATGACTGTATCAGGTTCTTCCCCTGCTACCTTTTACTTGTGTAGCTTTATTAGCCCTGGTGCAAGCAGGTAGTGTTAGGCAGTAATATATAAGCAGAATATGTAATAGAAGGATATATTTACAAGTCAAATGTTGGGCACGCAGATGTTCTATAGCTGAAAGCTACTGAAATACATTTTTCCTTTCAAATCGTTTAAACTCAGTCAGCTTCATCACCAAAATTAATACCTGTTGTTTGTGCTGTAGCACATGAAGGTATTTAGTATATTGACAATCATTAGCTAAGTTGCATATCTAAGACTTTACTGCACCTGCTTCTCCACCAACACAAGTTTCAGAACTCAATTACATCTCAGCTAACCTTGATCATTATACAAAGCACACATCACAGAACAACTCAGACACATGCAAACAAATCTTTGTGTAATGCCCTGAGAGCAGGTAAAGCTCCACAAAGGAAGACAAGCACAACACTGAATACTAGCATCAGACAATGAAGGAAACTATCAGGTTTTCTAACACGAATCTCAAGTCCATCCTGCCTCCCTTCCACCCCAGGTAAGGTATCTTGCCTCTCTACTTCTCCAGGTCTGTGTTCTTCTAGGCATGCTAATGACTTGAAGCTTGTACAATCACTAAGTAAAAGGAGACAACCAGTTCTCTTCCTGTGGGTCTTGGGAAGAACATAAACCTAGAGCTCTATAAATGAAAGGTCAGTATGACCCCCATCTATGGGTGTGCAAAAAAATCCAGGAAGAATGTTTGGAATAGTGCAGATGACTGACTAATACAGTGGTGCAGTCAAGGTACTGTGTGCCTTAAAAACATGCAAGGAGATTTACAGCTGCAAAGAGCTTAAAATCTGAAGTCAACCTGTGCTTGTTTTGTACTGCAAATTTTCTTCCTGGTTTTGCCTTGAAATTTTGCTGCAAACAATATTCACTTCTATGTGAAAAGTCACAACATTTTGTCACTCACTGCTGTGCAGGGTATACAATTACAGAGATGTACTTTTCACTGGTGGTATTTAGAGGAGTTACTATCACAGACACAACGAACATGAGGAAAATGGATGGAAGCACTGGAAAAGCACGATAAGGAAGACAAAGCCAGCAAACCTGCCTGTGGACCAGGAACTGAAAAGTCAGTCCAGTGGCTCACAGTAAAATCATTCTCCTCACAGTTCGCCCCCTAAGTAACCCATCCCCAGTGTTCACACCATTATCTGTATTTTTCAGCATACTATTCATGTTCTGTAACACAATTGTACTGCTGCACGGGGAAGCTTCTGGTCCAAAACCACCTTTTTTACCTTTGGATCAGTAGTCAGCAGCTTGAATGCTTGATATACTTGTGCTTCTTTCACGCCTCCACCCAAATCCAAGAAGTTGGCTGGCTTTCCACCATTCAAGGATATTATATCACATGTTGCCATTGCAAGTCCAGCTCCATTGACTGTAATTGTAAACACCAAGTACTTACATTTCATATAAAAGTATATAAGATTTGTGAAAAGGCTTAAAACATATCAGCACAACCAGAAAACACAGCTCATAAACATCTATTTCTAAATAGGTCAGTACTTATTCAAGGATATTCAATGCAACAAATAATTCAAACTCTGATGCACACACACCAACATTTAGGTATCAATTTTAGGACTTAGATGTGCACCTTTCCTTGAACATGTATGAACACTGGAATGGTAACTGTGGGCATCCAAAAGTTTCTTGGAATAATGATCACATTATGAGGCATGAAGGACAAATGGACTCCTTAAGCTCCCTACTCATCATTCTGACAGCAGTAAATGCTGCTTTGTAATACTGGAAAACAGACAACTAAATTCTGGGGGCAGATGCTCCTGAAACTGCCTTTTATTTTGCATTTACATTAGTCTAGAAGCATTCCCAGGGGCACAAAGATCCTCTAAGCTAGAAAAAGTAGGTGAGAATTATGTGTCCCCAGTAAGTTGCTCTTGTTGGACAAAGGAAGGCTTCTATGTCACCTGTAATTCAACAGCAATACCTAATACTAAAAAAACCAATAATATAATGTAGCATTGACAATTATTATCTGGGGTTTTTTTTTGTTGTTTTGTTGGTTTTGGTTTTTAAGTTGAGATTGAAGTCTCACTATCACTGAATCAACTGCAACCCATTCTCAGCATCTTCTAGATTTATGGTTAGAGTACATATCTAAGCAATATAAATGCTGGACATTTTCTCACCAAGCTGGGATAAAATGCCTAATTCAATTAGATTCATAATAAAATGTACTGGCTAAAAGCATTTGTGCAAAATGAAGATTATTTAGAGCACAGATGGCTATTTTACTTATCTCTTCTAAAAGGAAGAGTCATTTCTGTCCTACAGAAACTCCAGGAAAATAAAAACCTGGTATTTTGCTTTTAACAACCAAGCAACTTCTTTAGCACCTTTCCTTAAATGAAAACAGAGTTCAATTTTAAGTGAGAATATCATGTTTTTACACACATACTTTTGCAGTGTCTTTTAAGTAACACAGACTCATTTCTGAAAATTAGAGATTGAATTCTGATTACTTTTCACGTTTTGGCTCAATCACTGGAAAGATCAATGGCATCAGCTTAACAATTCACAGGGTAGAAACGTTCGCCCTCAGCCTGCCTTCTCCCTGACCCTCCTCATGCCCTGCCTGTCTGCTGTGGCCTTCACCACAGTTTCAACAGTTTTAGTTTCAATCCTGCAAGAACTTGTGGAAGGACAGACAACCTCAGCAAAATAGGCTGAAATACTGTCAAGGGTGGACTGAATGTCAGAATGTAAACAAAGTCTATACACTGAACAAGTACGAATTTGTCTTCAAATGTCTTTTGGAGTTATTTGTTCTTACCAAAGCAAGCAATATTTCCATCCAGTCCTATATATTTTAAGTCGTATTTGGCAGCTTCGTTCTCTATAGGCTCATTTTCAGACTTGTCATCCATGGCAAATATTTCTTTTTGCCTAAATTCTGCATTGTCATCAAAGTTTATCTTGGCATCAAAACAAACAACTAAAGGATAAAAAAATAAGAGAACATACAGGCATTTAGAGATTACAGTTAGCCAGAGCTTCTGAAATATTATGACTACTACAGCAAGGACAGGGAGAAGGATGCTTTGGGACTGAGGTTGCTTCCAACATATGATCAGATGAAGTTCTAGCATTGACTACAGCAAATAAGGGCAAGTTTCCCTTGAATCTTATATTAAGCAAAGCAAGCATCTGAACACTAGTACATTACCATGGGCCCTTGTCACAGGATGATCTTCTGTGTTTGCTTTAAACAAAGTTCATGTAAATTACAAAGGCAGTTTGCATGATTTGGACAGTAGATTCATAACAGAGTCTACTTCCAAAACCACTGAAAGTACAACAGGTATAACACATAACAGGTTAGCAATCCAAAGCAAAGTTTGGTAACATGCACTCATTTATAGTGGAGCAATACAAAATGCTTCCCTTAGCCGTAGTTTTAATTTATAATGTTATTAGCTATACACACATTATTTCCCTAAAGATCCGAATTACAACTTTAAGCCAATGGATGTTTAAAATGATCAAAAGATTACAGCTAAATAAAGAAAATTTACAAAAGAAATACAAAACTTCTCATCAATGTCAACAGCCATTATAGCTGTAAAAACAAATTAATCAGCAGCTAAACCTGACTGTATTAAATAATAGATACAAAAGACAAGCTAGTAGACATAACATTCACATAAAAACACCAGCAACAGAAATGTACATAGAGCGAATGGGTTATTTGCCTATTTACTGACTGATTATTTCTATGGGTTTGCAGAGGCAAACACCTCATTAGATTAAAATGTTCTAAGTAAATGTATAGTCTTACATTTCACCATTTAAGTAATCTGACTTGTACTATATCCAGATTATAATTACTGACTGAAGCATAATTGATTTCTCAATGCAAACCAGTCAGATATAAGTGCCTCTAAATGCTGCATCCAGAAAAATCTAATAGTCTCTCTTTCTGCTTGTTCTGATTCATATCACCATTGAAATACATACATATTACATGCATGTCTCATGAAAATTGTACATCTCTCTGCAACTAAAAATGAATTGCAATTAAAAAGAGAGTTTTAAGTCTTTGAGATAGATACCATCAATTAAAATAACTAATCACAAAATATTTTTTGGTGGCACAAATACCTCTTTTTTTCCCCCCTCATTATACAATTGCTTAACTTAATCTAAGCAAACAGCAAAAGATGTACACAAACAGGAGAGTCTCACTGGCCTGTCTTGATTTGAATTGGGTTTTCCTGGTTTGGTTTTCTGATGTTGCTGCGGTTTGTGTGTGTTTGTACATTGGAACTGTAACCAATACCAGATTAAATTAAAACCGGATCAGAATTCCTTTCAGTGACTGTAGTTTCAGAGAACTGCTCATGAGTGTATAATAAACCTGCCTTGGAAGAGTCTAGATCTTACCTGGTCAACCTGCAAGTGGGAAGCTCCAAAAGGATAAACGTCTGAAGTTCATAATATGCTTCAACTGTACTAGAGCTGCTTTAACTTCTTTTAACAACGAACTAAGACCAGTACCATTTTTCATCTTCAAGCTTTGAGTTCTTTGAATTGCTAAACCAACTCAAAGCTAGAGCAAAACTGCAGCTGCAGAATTTGTTTACCTTAGACATGAACATTCTCAATGTCACATTAATAGAATCTCACTTCTACAGAACAGTCATCTTTAACAAAGGCTATGCTGCACAAAGTAGCAGGAAAAACACCTATTAATATTTATCAAGCCATTTGCACCATCAAAAGCACATTGTTACATGCATGATAGATTATACAAATGGATTTTTTTTTTTGTCCAAACAAATATCAAAGAAAGCTCCAGCACTTATATTCATGGAGTACTTCTGTTGTTTTTGCTAGCAATGTGGGATTTTTGTCATCTGCCAATTCAAGAGCTTACACTGAGAGCAAACAAAAGAACCCAAATAAATGGGGAGTTAACAGGCTTCTGACCCAACAGTGTTAACAAAGAATTTGCTACAGAATTAAACAAAAGGAAATACATATGACAATGTATTTTCTAATGGAAATTACACAAAGCACAGAAAGAAATGAATCCATCTTAACCGTTACTTAGACAGGAATAATGGTCTTCATACAGAGAGTTGTATTTTATCATTAGAAACAACTGCATTAAGCTACTCGAATGTTTTTCCATTTGTTTTATCTTTATTCGTCTTTAAGACATTTCAGATGGAGAAACTGCTAGCAAAAAAGAAATAAAGCACAGGAAAGCTTCTGTATATGCCTGCTAGTAAGATGGCTTTCACAGCTTGAAACCCGCCCTGTTTCTGCTCCTCAGATTCCTGGATGTGAAACACATGCAGAACAACTTCAGACAAAACAGCCTAAAACTCCCTACCATCCCTCAAATGAAGTCCTCCTTACTAAATATATCAAGTGTGAATACCAGAACAGCCTAGTCCTGGTAAAAAGAGCTCACCTCAAGGTCATTTCTCTGTCTGATAGAAGGCAATTGTCATAAATGTCCTAACTTCTTGACATCTTGACTGAGCAAAAGGACCACTGGGTACCTTCCATATTGCCCTGTAGCATTATGGTATCTTGGTCAATTATTCTACTAAAAGAATTATTGCAGCAACTTTTGAGAAAGGATATTTTGTTTTTGCAGCATCTGTGGTCTTGAACCCACAAAATAAACCTGGTAAGTAGATCAGCCATGGCAGACAAACATACTGACAAATTTGGTTTGAACTGAACATCATAATCCGCAGGAAAGTTCCAGCAGCTTTAGTTGTACCTATTTGAAAGGTTCCATTCATCTTCAAATAGTCAAAAGTGTTATGTGTTGCACATTGCTAGAACTCGCAAAATCCAGACCATTCATTTTACAAGGCCCTATTTCACTGTTCTAAGTTCACTGCGCAACACAGAATGAGGATGATGTTCTCACCTCATCCAAACTGGTTTTTTACTTAAATGGTGGGGAAAACAACAGTCGACCTGGTTCTGAAAGCAAAGTTTCCATTTCCATTTAAAATACAGCCTACAGTACAACTGCACTGGTCAACAGCAGGGCTTTGTGTTTCTCTCCCCCAGTACACATTTCACAAATTGCATGAGAACCAACAGAGCCAGAGTCAGTTCCTAAGAATTTGACTTACATTTATTAAGCTGAGCGAGGTTTACAATGCAGAAACTATTGATTCAAAGCACATGTTATCATGGTACTTCCAATGACATGGAAATCTGAGCACGCAGTGCTGTGAGAGATTCTCAGATAGTTAAAGCATGTGGAGGGAATCATTCTCATGAGGTAAACTCTACCCAAAGAGCTAAAGGATTCTGGTGGTAAGAACATAAAATAACCCCCTCAAACCCCAACCGAGAAGGAACTTGAAAAAGGGCTGCCATCAAAGCAGAATTCGTACATTTAAGCCACAAATATACTCCTCTAGCTTAGTTTAACCTGAAAACAGGTCACGATGTAAAAAAAAATTGATGCATATTTAATAGTTATCATTGTCTCTGAATTACCCTCATCTACTTTAATAGACAAGATATTCCTTTTTGTATTTAAAATGCCACTTTACAATAGAGTGTTTCTGTGTCCCAGAGCCTATTTTATAACAAACAGTACCATCATTTAAGATGCATCAGTAAACCAGGGTAGGGCAGCATTTGTTTTACATCCTTTAGAGCTTTTCAGAGTTCACTACCAGCAGAGCTTCTCTTTTAAGCTGTGGACAATTCTCTGCCAATTCTTTTGCATTTGGTTTGGGTTTTTTAAGTTAAAAAGGGAAAAAACAAGGTTGGACAATTGTACTTTCTACCCACAATTCTGCATCTGAATTCCTCACCAACTGAGCCAAAACCATAGATTTTTAGTGAAAAGCTGTTTATTTTACAAACTAGCTGTGGGCACACAAATAGTATTTAAAAAGTGCTAATTCATTCAATATGAGGAACTCATATTGAATATTGTACAACTCATATTGTACAAAGAGCAGGAAAGTTCTTAACTGACACAGCAGTGATCTTTTCCCAAAAGTTTCCAGAACAGCAATTAAGCAACCACATTCCTAATGTCTGTTACAATGGGTAAAGGCTTTCTCT